TTTCTTAATTATATATATATATATATTTACTTACCATTTGATGTTTTGCAGAATCTGCAATAACAAGGTTTTATAAGTTTGTTCTCTTCAATGAAACTGTATAACTCAGGTCCTTTTCTTATTCTGCGCCCACGCTTGGGTGGTTTGGGGGTCAAATTTACATCAAACAAATCTCCATCAGAGGCTGCCATCTTCAAAAGACTGCTGGGGTTAAATCGCTAGCTGTTCAGGCCTGCCCACACAAACTCCCCTGCCCCTTGCAATGACACGCCCTTGAGCATTGCGCATGCCCAGATCACGGGGAGCAAACTCCCCTGCCCCTTGCAATGACACGCCCTTGAGCATTGCGCATGCCCAGATCACAGGGGGCATGACATGCCCGGGCATGTCCCTGCCCACGCAAACTCCCCTGCCCCTTGCAATGACACGCCCTTGAGCATTGCGCATGCCCAGATCACGGGGAGCAAACTCCCCTGCCCCTTGCAATGACACGCCCTTGAGCATTGCACATGCCCAGATCACGGGGAGCATGACATGCCCGGGCACGTCCCAAACAAGGCCTAACCCCCCTTTTTTTACTAGCAGACAGACAGAAACACACATGGCTGCTTGCTGCTTGCCTCTTGTGAGCCTGGTTGGCTGCTTGCCTCTTGTGAGCATTTTAATTCCTGTTAATATTCCTTGTCTTTTGCTATAGTGGGAAGGCGGGCAGAATAAATTTTATTCAGGGTACAAATGGCAAAATATGTGTGTTTAGATTTTTTACAAAGGTAAAAACCAGCTGTGGGTTTTAAAAGGGGCTGTGTTTGTTTGTTTTTCCCCCTGCATTCGAGGAAATGCTTTTAAAACCACCTAGACATAAATACCTTTTAGAAAAAAATATCTTTTAGAAAAAAGGGGTTAAATGCAGGCTCTGGCTGCCTTTCAGGGGCTTCTTTTTCCCCAGCTTTTGAGGCACTGATTTTTAAAACTCCACAAAAATTAAAAGCATCGTTAGGCTAGAATGATTAGAAATAAAAAGCCTTTTTTTATTTTTTATTTCACAGCTCCCCAAAGTAGGGCTTGTTTCCCAAAAACACAGGCCTCTGCTAATTATTCACTTAGCTCTTTTGGGTTTTGAATGTCCATAGAAATAGTCTAGGGTTAACAGCTCCCCAAAGTAGGGCTTGTTCCCCAAAAACACAGGCCTCTGCTAATTATTCACTTTACTTAGCTCTTTTTGGTTTTGAATGTCCATAGAATTAGTCTAGGGTTAACCTAATCATGTACCCAGAGGATTGACTGCCAATCTTGATGGGATTAGGCCAAAACGTCACATCCGGAGGGTGGGGGCTGAGCACGTCACTTCCTTTTAGGGCTGTGCCCTGTTGACGTAATCAGCACGTGGGTTTGTTTACTTTGATGACGTCACTGATCAAAAGTGCTGATAATTTTCATTAAAAAAAGGTATACACCACTTCTACTCCTACAGGTACTCTAAGGTTAAGCCTGGCCCTCAAAATGCTGCTCTTACCACAGAAGGTAAGAAGGAGAGCAAATTCATTCAAGATTAAGTCTGCAAAGTTGCAGGTCCTTCATACCTGGCATAAGAGAACATCATGAAGCAACCCTGATTTGCTACAGTAAAGAGACAGCCTGAAAACCACTTTGAGACAGAGGCTAAGGCTGAAAAGAATATGTAATGCATATATTTATACTTAGTTGGCTATCCTGAATAACTATTATTCTTTTTTAATGCCACATGAAGGCGTGCCAATCTTGACATATATTTTGCATGACGAGTTTTCTATCAATACAAAGCAAGGTAACCAAAAGGTGCAAAGACAAGAGAAGACAACTACAAAGGGACTTAGGATGAACTGACACCTATAATCAAGCAGTCCAAACCAACAATGGCAATGCACATAAACAAGCAAGTTTCCATTCAAGCATTCCTGATGTATCAAGAACCATAGAGACAGAAAGCTGCCAATGTGCTGTTACATTCAGTATTCAAACCTTATGACTAGATAGATTAAAAATACAGCTTTAACCAGATAAATCCCACCCAGGGATTAGGAAATGAAACTTTTCATTTCAAATAATTTCTTAAGGCAAGAAGAACAAGCAGACGCACATATGTCACCTTGCTACAAACACAAGCTTGGATTTCAACTGTGTGTTCGAGAAAGAAAAGCATATTTTAATATAATAAAAAGCAGAGCTGTCATTATCCAAACTGCACCCCAATGAATCAAACTAGAAAGCTAAGGGAACAATGGATAAAATGCAGAGAAAGACAAATGAGATTAACTTTGAAATCAATGACCCATTAGCAAGCAGTCTCATTAATTTCAATGAGCAGCAGCACACTGATATGTATCTACATGCAAACTTTCCCATCATTCTCTATATTCTCTGTAGAATATGCTATCCAGTTGCATAGAGAAATGAATACGGTATTGCAAAAATCTGTACAATATTATGAGTGAGGAGAAATTTTTGAACTGCTGTTTTATTATGTTTGTAAATATGATTTTAAGCTGCAGTTCAGTATTATGCTGGTTTAGCACACAGAAAAGTTCCTCTTCCTACTTAAAAACAAACAAACAAATCAATTTGTAAATACTCATGTTGGGATCAGTAGCCACTTTACTAACATGTTATTATAACTTATTATGAATACTTTTGCCAGGATACCTCCAACTGTTTATCTTATTATCTAAGGCTAATATTTATAAAGATTAGACAACGTAAAGACCAATTGTTTCTTTGCTTAGAGAAAAGTCTTCTAAGATTGCAAAAGGACATAAAATCAGGTATGAAACTCATCTAGATGAAACAAAATAGTTGCCTTGGGTAATCTTGGTAAGTATAAATCATACATAAACAAGGTAATTTGGATTTAATTAGCCTTTAGAATATTACAGTAATTTAAAAGCATGTCTTTCTAATCAGTTGGATTAGAAAGTCTAATTAGACTTCACCTTTTCAACCTACACACTTGCTAGTTTCTCAGTCTAGCTATGCTGTCAACTCTAAAACGAAATTAGCTGAAGCCATTTTCCTTTCGTTTTTGGTTGCCACAGAATTGGGAGGGGGGATGAGTGTTTATCTTAGACCAGTGGTTCTCAAGCTGTGGGTCGGGACCCCATTTGGGGTCGAACGACCATTTCACGGGGGTCGCCAAACAACGCAGTCCGCCATTTTTTCCCCCCTTTTCCTTAGCTGTGCTACTCTCTTTTATTCTATTGGCTTTTGAAAGCCGATAGAATAGACTCTCTTGAATAGAGTCTAATTCTATTGGCTTTCAAAAGCCAATAGGAATTGTCCAGGCTGTTTCTGCCCTGCTGAGCCCGCCAAAAGTCCCAGTCTGCAAACAGTGCTGCACCAGTTGAGTAGTCCTCGACTTACGACCGATTGAGTAGTCCTCGACTTACGACCAGTTGGGGGTCGCGGCATTAAAAAGGTTGAGAACCACTGTCTTAGACATAACAATAAATTGTTCTGTGGGAACCAAGGTCATTGTTAACTGCATTTTGGCAGGCTGCAACTTTAGTTAGAAAACCCCTGCAAATAGTTAATTGGGGAATGTGATTTATGACATACTACTGGGGTGTGAAGTTTAACTTTGTAACCTTTGAGGGGGGTGTTTCAGTCTTGGGTTCAGTTTTGAATGTGCTGATATTATGTGGCCAAATAAATATGTTCTTTAAGGAAACCTTTTTGCCTTGGAGTTCTTTTTCTGGTCTCATCTATCGGAACCATGACATATGCATTGTGCAGTCTACAAGAGACTTCCCAGGGTTGGTTATTTTTAACTAGAAGTAGAATCCAGAAATAAAAATGAGAGTTAATCCTGGATCAGATTTAATTACATCATTTTACTAAAAAAGTCAGACCAAAGGACATTTCTACTACAGTAATTAAACAGATTTGTTTCTATCTTCTTCAGCATACCCAGATGGTGTAGCATCATGAGAAGGCTTCCAGCAATGAGATGTCTTCCCTATTTGAATGGCAGAGATTAATGCTGTTTCAATTGTTTTAACACTGTTTTAATTAGGTTTTTAAATATTTTGCTTCAAAATATTATTTGAAATGTTTTTCATAAAATAATATTAAAGGATTTTTATTCTCTCATTTGATACAGCAGCTAATAAGTGCAATATTAAGATCTGTAGTTTCTAGTATATGCAGCTAAAAGTTACCAGAAAGAAAAAAAATGATGGGAACTATCAACCAAGCAAAGCTTTTTTTTTTTTATAAATTATATAAAAACAAAACAAAAAATGTTTAGCTGGAATTGTGGAATTTAAATATAAATCAGGGAGTTGTACAGCATTTGTTACATAAGGCATATGCCAGCATGAATATGGTTACCTCTTGAAGACCTTGAATCTGTTTGGCAAATGCAACACTCCCAGACTTAGAAATATTTTCAAAAATGAGAATGTGACAACTAGATATGAACTGTTTAAATTAAGAAGCCTGCACCTATTCAGGCTGCAATTCTTATGCAGGCTTGGGAGGCAATTTAAAGAAAATAAGCTGAGCATGTGAACAGAACACCCCGCAGCACTCTTCCAGGCCTGGGACCACTGGAAGCTTGCCTGCTTCCAGAAAGTCCCACCAACTGGGCAGACTGAGATGGTATAGGGCAGGGGTAGGCAATCTTGGCTCTTTTATGACTCCTGGACTTCAACTCCCAGAATTCCTGAGCCAGCATAGCTTGAGCAGGGGGTTGGGCTAGAAGACCTCCACCAAGGTCCCTTCCACCTCTATGTTCTGGGCACATCAAGCACAAAACCCCCCATCCAAATAGGAAGGGTTGACTTCTAGCTTGACTTGGAGGGACTACATGGACAAAAGCACCGTCTAGGCAAAGGAGTAAAGGTCGTTTGCCATTGCCTTCTGCCCTTCTAGACAGCAACGAGTCCTGCTCCTCTGTCCTCAAAGGACGCACCCGAATTGATCTGAGTTAGTTTCCGAACCGAGACGAGATCGCTCAGCGTTACTACCTGTTGTGTCGGGCAAACAGAGAGAGGAGCAGCCGGTTCAAAAGAACGGAGTCTCGAACGTACGTAATCCTGCAGCAAGCCAACCGAGTTAGACGGCCTAACTACCGACCAACGCCACAAGTTCAAGAAGTAAGCCAGCAACTCTTCCACCGCAACAAAACAACATACAAAAAAACTCCAGGCCCGCACATGGGATTTAGTTGGACCGGAGGAGGGAGCCCGTACCAACTGAACAAACCTCGTCGGGAAACTCAACTCAGCAGGCGTAGCGCCTGGCAACAGAAACAAAAGTGTCCGAGCTTTTTCCGCCCCGCCAAAGAATCCCGCTCGGCCCCTTTCGATCCTAGAAGTTGCCCTCCCTCGCAACCGGTGTGTTGCGCTTGGCGCTGGGACGTCGCGGGAATATAATTTGCCGGGCCAGCAGCTCTGCCAGAGGCTGTTCAAACAACCCGGCAACGAGGAGAGAGCAGAAGTTACGACGGCTATTTTTCCCACCCCGCGAGAACTCCCGCTGTGATAACCGGCCAGGGACCCAAGAGACTACGAAACAAGACTGGCAACGAGGCCGGGATCGTCGCTAAGAAGACCACCGGCCCTACCTGTACATGCTCCTAATAACACAGGCAGCCTCTGTGGTCTCGCTTTGTGAAAGGGCCTGCGTGACGGCCCACGTGCAACGGACGCGTTTCCAACGCCGCTAAGGAAAAAAAAAATGGAACTCAGGTGGAGCCTTCCAACGTACAGTATGTAGTTTTGTGACGCGTGCTCGAATTCCGGGATTCGTCTTCTGGGATTTTTCTCTTGTCATTATTGCAGGATTCTGTGCGGTGCGATCCATTGGAGCAAGCACGAGTCACAAAATAACTGTTGTAAAGGACGAGGCTGGTCACAAAACACCCATTTTGCAAATAACTAATCTCAGCATTTGAAGATCAAGTCTTATAACCTGTCCCGTAAATCAGAAGAAGTAAGTCCCAAGAGGGAAGTGCTCTCTAAATCCTTTTTTCTCTTACACCAAAACAGGCATTTAACTAAAAGTAGGATTTTTTAAATCTGCCAATCACTTCATCCCACTCTTTCACCTAGCCTACAAATAAATAAATAAATAGCTTTAAGATCAAATGCAGCCTTCAGACCTCAACTTATTCCAGGGCACTGATCCACATTTCTTTAACCATAGCTTATTGAATGAGCCACTCAGTTCACAACAAGCCAAGTCATAAACCATGATTTACAAGGCTGGGTTCATTGTGTATGCAAAAGCAAAACCAGACAAAAGTTATTTACTTACTGACCCAATTTTACTGACCTAATAAAAATAAATTAAAATCCATATAATTAAACAGATGCAATTAATTAAGATATACAATATATTAAATGTACCATCCCAGCGGAGATGAAGCACTGAAAATCAAACTGACTAAAGATAATCAAGATGAGGATCTGGCACAGATCTCTGAGAGGCCATCCCAAAAGTACAGACATTATTAAGAAACACTTTCCTTTATAATCTCATTCATTGCAGTAATGAGAGATTGCTAGAATATTTGTAAGGGATAGCAGACTTTTTAAAGAAATTGTACATATATACTTAGAACTGCTGGGCAAAAATACTGGTGTTGGCCACAGTCAGCCAGCTGTTTAGACTGGATTTGACACCTATTTTGTTCACTTCTTAAGTCCTTCCCCAGGATTTGGGATGGGCAGATATTGTGGTTTTTTCAATATTAAAGTTATTGTTACAGGATATATATTACGATGGCTGGTCTCCTAGCCAGATGTTTAGACTGAACTTGTCATTTTTATCCACTGATCAAGTCCTTCCCAAGGAAATTATTATGATTATACTAAAACAATTTAAAGAAAAAGAAAGTATCAAAATATAAAATATATTATAGATCTATTTTGGACTTTCTGAAGCTTTTGAACCACCATCAAAGGTAACTCTTTTCAGCACATTTCAGCAATCCAACAGAAAAATGATCAAGAATCTTTACACATCCACCTGAACCCATTACCTGATCTGTTTTTGGCTAACCATTGCTGATATTTTTCCTTAAATTGCTTAAAAAAACCCCTCTTTACTGAGTTTTCCTATGCCTTTAGTGACAATTATGGATCCAGGACTGCTGAATGCAACCTTTCTAGGACAGATTGATCATCACTCTCATTTATCTGGATTGAGCTTCCATTTATTCATTCTCTTCAAGTTTGTTATACAAGCATCACTTTGGAGCGTATGCTGTCTCCATGAATTAGATGAAAGTAGATTTAAATCTGGGTATAATCTTCACATTAATAACAACTCAACCCACTTTCTGAGGGTAACGTTGAGTCCAAGGAATTGGAGGACACAACTCTATGCAACATTGTTACAAATCCTCAACATCAAATTCCAGAAAAAGCAGTCAAATAACAGGAGAACCATAGAAAAGATACCATTATTGATGGTATCAAAAGCTACCTCTTGGTCCTAAAGAAACTAAAGAATTGCATTTCCCACTTGTTCTCAGACAAAAGCATGCCACCAGATAACAGTTTCTGTCCTAAAGCTGGATCATATCTGGATTGAAATCAACATGGAAAGTCAATTTCACACAAACGTGTTTGAAATTGGTCGACAACCTCTTGGCTGAGTACCTTATCCAACTATGAAAAATAGTTATATATTTAGCAGATGTGAGTACAGCCATGGAATCTGACTTTAATTGTCCTAGTTTATTGTGGTTTTATACTCACTGGTAGCCACTTTCTGGAGTTTCAGAAAGAAAGTGTGTATTATAGATAGTAGGGATTTAATCTTGGACATTTTTCAAATCATCTTTCTTTTTGTCCACTAGGAAGATGAAAGATCTGCTGTCTATGAAAGTGTGTTTGTATCTAAAGTACTTTGCATATTGAAAATAAAACAAATACTACATAGGGAGTGTTATCCAAGGCTTACATGTAAAAAGAACAACGCACTAGAGGATCCCCAAATGTATCATACAAATAAGGGAGTAGTGTATAACAATATGTTAATCTTTGGGGGATGCCTTCAAGTGAGTGTTGATTCCTGGCAACTGCCTAGACAAGTCCCTGCAGTTTGCTTGGCAAGATTTTGGAAGCCATTTGCCACTGTCTCCTTCCTACAGCTGAAAGAGCGACTGGCCCAAGATCACCCACCTGGCTTTGTACTTAAGGCAGGACTGGAACTCGCCATTCTTGCTGTCTAGCCTGGAGCTTTAACTACTATACCAAACTGACTCTTATTTATTAATATATAAGTGGTTATTTTATTTAAGAAATACTTTGGAAGTTATCCATATAATCTTTCTATTTGTAGTAATTTGCTTCCAGCTCTTCACAAAAATTAAGTATGTTGCCATCAGACCTTTTCAACTTACTATGTAAAACATTTTTATCACTTTCTACTTGTGCAATCCCAGCTAAAATATATCATCTGTTGGACTTTATGAAAACAGTCAATATCCATCATATACACCTCTTGATTCTTTTAAGTATTTTCCATCCAACTACATAATATGTACAATCCAACTTCCGGTTAGGTGTCGTGGCATAACAGGCGCAGGAAGACAGGGCTTCTTTTACACATTCGATTTCGCCCCACTGGGAACCCTAAAAAGGGTCGAAAGTTGCTCCAGAGAGGTGACAAAGAAGGAGGAGACCCTCGATCACAGAGGGGCAGTGGCTCTTCTGTTTGATACAAGGAAGCCCTCCAAACCGGTAGGGGAAAGACTGGCTACATTTGTGTGGCCAGTCAGAAGCTGCTGACAACTGAAGAAAATAAGCTCTAATGAGCAACTTTTGAGCAACGTGGATGGAACTGGATGAGACTTTATCCTCTCTTTATGACTTAAAGACTTTTTCCTGGAAAAAACTGCCCAAGCAAAGAATGCCCCCCAATGAGAGAGGGAAGGGAAATTTCCACCCCATTTCCTCAGGAAAAGAAAAGTGGTGAACTAATTGCTTGGGGGAAAACAGAGAAAATTACAAGATTAATTTGGAATCAAAACATATATAGCTTTGAAATTTGGGGACTAAAAGTTCTTTTGAGACTTTTGTAGAATAAAGACTTGAAAAGTTTGCAATATAAGTTTGGATTTAAAAAGACGGCATCAATGACATCTAGTGGCGAATCATGGCACTGCAATGTATTATGCTTAAACTTGGCTTGAAACCCAGACTCAGATAAGACTTTTGTTGCCCTTGGAAACTTTCACTTTTGAAGATTGCAGCTGGGAAAAGGGGGAAAAAACCTCTTGGGCTGATTATCTGTCTGGCAGAGATGATAAACTATTTTGAAACTGGCCTGCCTGGATTACGAATACAATACTAACTGACTTTTAGACCTGCGTTGTGGAGCTAATAATGCAAAGGAGATAAAAGAACAATTTTCTAATCTAAACCTACAAATTCAGAAAACGACCACAAAGAAGGAACTATTACCCCAGAAAATAGAAGGAAAATTAGAGGAAGCGGATCCAAAAATGGAGGACCTAAAGGAAGGAAGCAACAGACAGATTCAGACAAATGAAGAATTAGAAGACATAGTGATAATACCGGAAAAGGAAAAGATATCTTACTTGTCAAGATCTCAGAAACATTTGAGGATATGGAAGAAGAGCTGATCGAACGGAAGATAAAGCTGTTAGGAGAACTGTGGAAAATTGGAGAAGGAGGGAGGCTGTTTAATGAATATAAATGGGCTGAGCGTTCTTCCAAAAATACTTTAATTAAATTGCCTTTCTTATTCCAAACAATATACACAAAAATAGAGGAAGAACTACTTGATGATTCAAATGCATTGACTTGGAAAGTTAATTGGCAAAGGAAGAAAGCTAGAGTAAGACTGAGGAAAATAGAGATTTTGTCCCATTAGATTGGATATTACATTATTAAATAGTCTGAACATGGCTAAGAGAATAGATAATTGTTAGAAATAAAAGTATTATTATAACTAGAAAAAGAGGATCTACAACTAGAATACTATATTTTGGTATGAAAAGGGAAATATGAAAATGCTAAGAGGGTCTGACTAAGGGAAGCTTTTGGTTACCCAAATATAATTTATTATGAGAAAACTATAAGTGATAGAGACACTTTGAACATTGATGGGAAATCAAAATTTTAAAAAAGTGGGGAAAAGTTATTGATTGAACAAATGGATTTTAAGTGCAAATGCAACTGACATATGTTTTGGTTAGAAAAGATATTTTAAACTGACACTATTGATATTATGTATAATATTAGAAAAATGTGATAAAAATGTTGATATTCAATTGTACATGTATTAACAGCAATAAGAATTATATTTGCCTAGTGTGGAAAAACGTATACCACCAGAAGAAGGGAGGAAGCACAGGATGGTGTAGTATTGGATCTAGACTGAGGAAGTTAATATGTACCATTGAATTACTAATGGACCCAGAAAACACGTTGTTTGTTAAGTACTTATGATTGCAAAACTAGAAAATTAATAACATTTATACAAAAAATATGTACAAACCTTCTTAAGAGGATTATGAGACTGGAGAAGAACCACAGCTGGGAATACATGAATTCTAAATTTTCTTATACCTACAAATGGAAAAGAGATATGCAGTGAGATAGTGTAACATTATACAATAGATGAACTGCTGATTTATTTTGAATTACTTAAAACCAGTGAGGTTTTGATTTGGCCCAAATTCTATTTTATTTCTATTTCAACTGGGTACACATTTTATTAAAATATATATGAAATATTCCAAGATTGTGGTAACATAATTGAGCATATATTGAATGTTTATGCATTATCTCTGTTCCATTGGCTATATCTACAATATTTCCCTACAAATTAAAGTTTAGAGGCTGCTTTTCTTGCAAATTAGGGACCATCACAGATTGTCCTGAAGAGGAGTGTGAGGGCTAGTAGTAAAGATGCTCGCATCCTATTCAGAAGGCTGAGTTCAATCCTGGGATAGTGGCAGGTGTTTCTATCCTAGGGCCCAAA